ACACAAATTTGTCCAATAAAAAAAAAAAAGACCGGAATATTCTACAAAAAAAAAAAAAAAATCTACAAATCATTTCCACTTCCATAGCTCCAACATTAAGCAAATCCTACCAGTCTCTGCTTAAACAAGCCAGAAACCTTGGAGGAAGAAGAAAAAAAACACAAAGAAAAATCAATACTAAGCGCCATCGGTACAAAGGCGCGCGAACAGTGATCCGTGGCAGGTAGCTTTCCACAGTCTAGCGGAGATCGCAGCGAGATCTCGGAAAAAATCGAAGTGTATCTAGGGTATATAACTTTCGTCTAACTCTAACATGGTCTAGCCTAGAGACTCGTCTCTCGTCTCTCGAGACGAAGAAGGCGCAGGTGCACGTTGCACAGCAGTGAAAGTATCCCGAGTTGCAGTTACGATCTGGCATCTGTCAATGCCCTCTTGCATAGTCAGTCGAAGTCTATCGGTGTCGTTTGTCCGAGACCCGGGATTTTCAGCTCGCTTGTCGACAGTGTCGGTGCCTGTCAGCTAGTGAACAGTCACCTGGTGAATCCTGTTCGTCGAGCCAGCTAAAACAACTACGAGAGCCTAATTTCGTTGGATGCTCTTCTGCTGTTGGAAACTCGCGTTACGAACTGGGATGAACATGATGAACGCGGCGACGTTGTGCTTCCTGCTGATCGTAACCGGTGTCACCCCTCTTTCCACTGGGTCCAATCGTAAGTAATTAGAGTTTTTGGATTGTTAGGCTTTTTTTTTTTTTTTTTTTTTTTGTTCGCGCAGGTTTGCTTCCCGATTCGAGCGAGCTAAAGGTTCAGAGTCAAGTTTGTGGAAAAGCGAGTGAAAGTTTGATAAGATAGGGAATGTGGCGTGAATGCTAGTGCTGGAAATGAACATTTTCAGGATTCGTTCTATTGGAGTTCTTGTTTTCAATTTGCTTGGTTAAGAACCAAGCAATGATTCATCGTTGTTTCTGTAGACATTTATTTGTTCCATAGAAATTTGTTTCACATCGCGTACTGTGTTATAAGAATATACTGCGTATAAACTTAAAGTTTCTATAAATGTGTAAAAATTTAGAATAAACTGCTAAATGGACCAACAACTCGATGAAACTCTTACGGATATTGTAAATTGTTCAATTTCCTCGCTTCAACACTTCAAGTTTCGTAAAATTGTCGAATCTAGGAATTTCTTTTTATAGTCTTGGTATTAAGAACGTTTAATATTTAAAAATTTTTTTGTTAAAAATTATTTTATTAAATATTTGAAAGAAGACGATATATATATTCGTTGAAGAGAATAGCAAATGAAATATATTAACGTAACGTTCATCATCGATTAACGATATGTGTTAATGGTATGATTAAGGCAACGAATTCTTGAATTCAAAGAGTCGATAAAAATTAATATTTTTCTGTTCTTTCTGAAGAAGAAAAATATCTTTTTCGTTTTAAGTATCTAAACTTTTATGATTGATTATACGTGACATTCAAATTTCACTGTTTCTGTTTAAATAAAAATCAATGTCCACATATAAAAGTTTCTATATAAAATATAATAAATATAAAATAAAATATAATAAAGTTTTTATATAAAATATAAAATATAAAATAAAATATAATAAAGTTTCTATATAAAAATATAGAAACTTTTATGTAACAACGAAAAAGAATTTATGTAACATTATCACCACTGTAGATTAAAACAAGAACGTGTATTCAACAATTCCTATGTAAAAACATAGAAATTTCTGCACAAAATAGAAGAAACAATCTAAATTATAATTACTTCCACTATCTTAAATTCAATCAAGAATCTATATTTTCAATTCTCTAAGATCGTACAAGTTTTCAACAAATTTTTATAACTCGGGAAATTCTTTGTGATTTAGTTTTAATTTTTTAAAATTAAAAAGAAAGAAAGTAAACGGAGTTTAAAACATTTCTTTCTTCTCATTTCTCGTAGATGGACTGACTGTAAATTCATTTAGAGTATCGTCATGTCGATCTTTTCATTTCACACATTCAGGAATTTGCACTTTTTCAAATACGAATAGGTGATTGTAGAATTTCGTCGAGTGGTAGAGGTAAATGTTACATAAATACACCGTGCGAAGTAAAGAGGTCAGTCGTGCAAGTATCCCTCAAAAAAGTCGAATTTCACAATGTGCGGTTGCTAGTGACAAGTTGCCTGGCAACTATTTTATCGCGCAACGAATGCGTTTCCGCTTGTCTCCCTCTTTGATTAAGGATTATTACCGTTCATCTAATAGTGGTTATCAATGTTCAAGAAATCCTTTTAATTTCTGTCAAGAAAGAAACTGTTTGTTCATACGTAAAAGAATAAATTAGCATATATCTAATAATTGAAGAATCTAAATTCATTAGGATAAAAAAAGGGAAAAGTCAAGTTTCAGCATTTTTCGAAAAACGAAAATTTATTTATTTATTTATTTATTTTTCTATATGTATCTTGGTATTTAGAACTCGAAAAATTTTGTCTGGCACGCGAAAGAACGAATGTTAAAACTAAACTTCGTTCAGATATTCTCCCTATTCAGTGAATTCTTCAATTATCATAATTAGCTTTTATATGACAATGATCCCTTTCGCTTATTAAATATTATAACGAACACTATATTTTATTGCAAAATTTTTCTGAATATAAAATTCCTTGGTTGTTGTCAATTTTATAATTATTTGATAGTTTAATTTCTCTTTCGTCACAGCTGAATATGTGAAACAATGTTCGAGGAGCGATCCAAAATTAAAAGCATGCCTGATCGATGCGTTGCACCATTTAAGACCGTACTTGAGTGTTGGAATACCGGAAATTGAGCTGCCTTCCGTAGAACCATTTCGCGTAAGTTTCTCACTGCTTTCAATATCCTTCTATTATGATGAAAGTTAATGCTTCCTGTCTCAACAGAATTGACGACAAGTATTTCAAATTTCATTAAAAATGTCGTATCGAGCGAGATTTAAATGCAAATGTGTCGTTAAGGTAATCACTTTTCGTTAAATTTCACTATTATTACCGTAGCTTTTTCCCCCTACCTGAAATTAGAAGAGATCCATCGATTAAAATCACAAAATTTCGAATTTGAAGAAACTAACAATGAAATGGGAAAGTAAGAAAGAGTTCGAAAATTTTACAATTAAAAATCCTTCGTGTGCGTTTAGAATAGTAAAAATTAAAAAAATAACGAACCTTTAATTTCTAATTTCCCCTGTTTCGGAAAGTTTTTAAATTTAACACGAAGAAAAAATCCATGCAACACTTTCTAGTACTAATTACTACTAAAAAAAATTCGAAAACTTCACGCTCAATATTACATCAATTACTGCATGTCAATTAATTTCTATAAATTTCGAAATAAGAGAATTTACACGCTTGATTACAAAATACTCTGCAAAGTTGAGAATGAGAAATCGAAAAGGTATAAATTCTCACGTTCGGCTCTCGACTTACAGCTATCGAAATTAAAATATGAGAAGGAATTTAGCAAATTTCAATATCGACCCGTTTACTACTGGTTATCCCACATATCTGCTACGACTTTGCTTATTTCAACAGATGGACGAGCTGACTCTCTCCCTGACAGGTGGTACAAACGGTTATAAGGTTCAACTGCGTGAACTGTTCGTAAAGGGAGCGAGCAATTATACCGTGGACGACATCAAACTTGGCTCACCCTTCGAGGCTATTGTACGAATGCCAGCCCTCATCTTGGACGCGCATTATTCCAGGTTCACGATCTGCAAATGCCCCTGCTCCATTTAGATTCTGCCCTCTAGTCGTTCATTTTTATTAAGTTCTTCTTACGATAATTGCGAAAAACTTTTTAACAGCAAGTTAATCAAATTAAAGACGAAACAAATGGCACACTGTCTTAGACTATGTACTGTAGTAAAATTGTTAGTGAAAATTTATTACTAATATCGATAATAGTGTTGTTTCATTTATTTTCATTTAATATGTCAGTTCAGGAGTGCTGATTATCTTACCGGCCAGTGGCAATGGAACGTTCCACGCACGATTTGACGATGTCAAAGCTCTAGTCAAAGGCACTGTCTCGACGAAAGAGAGGGATGGGAAAACATACCTCAACGTGGATAATCTTGACGTTGCTCTGGAAGTGAAGAACGTAAACATGAGAGTGCGCAAGATTTTTAACAACAATCGAATCCTTAGTAAGTAATTTATTCTCTCATGTCTTTTATACAGATATATTTTATTTAATATATATATATATATATATTATCAAAGCTTCCGCTTTCTTCAATGACATGAATGACATAAATGAAATTTTCTAAAAATATCTTCATTAATAAGAATATTATTCTCACTTTCTAAAATACTTTTACAATTCTCTTAAAAACTTAACAAATACAATCAGAAATAGAAACGTCAATTTCATAGCAAAAATCCGATTTGGGAAATGTAATGATGATATACTAGGAAGAAATTCCAGTGAAAAATTTGACAGGATAATTTAAGAAATAATTAACGATAAATAATAGTAGTAGCTTTAAATTGAAATTATGATCTGTATAATTTGAATTGTAAATTATTAGCTTGAGAAATTAATACTTAAATATAAAAAGAAGAAAGGGGGGATCAGCAAAAGAATTAATCAAATAATTTAGAAAACACATTACTGTTATATATCATTGACAATTAATAATAATTATCATTGCAGCCGAGGCAACTAACCTGTTCCTCCGTGAAAACGGACAGGAAGTATTAAAGGTGATGGAGCCTCAGTTGAAAAGGAAACTGTCCGTTCTCTTCGCCGGAATTGTTAATCAATTGTTACGTCACGTGCCAGTGGAAGTCTTCTTGTTGCCTTGAATTTCGTAATTTTTCTCGGAAATAAAGAAAAAAGAACGACAAATAATCGAAATTAGTAGGTACATTGTACATAGAGTTACCACATGATAACAAGTAACTCTGGTTAATAATTCGTAGTAGTAACAAGACGATAAACAAAGAGCAGTATTTTTACAACGTTTAGTTTAATCCGTTTCAATGTAATTAATTGCGCAAAATTGAATCTATTGTAGAAAACGTAAAAATTATATATGTATATATTTGTAAAAGCGTACATTTGTTTTTTAACCAACCATCTACCCTCGGGTACACAGTAATATTTGTAATATTTGACGCAATGATCGCTCATGCCATGAAAATTACAAAAGATCGTATCGTTTTGTAAAGTGCAATTATTCTATCATAGATTCTGATGCTTACAACATTACGAATATAATTCTATGTAATTAATATATACTTTATGTAAATATTTTCATTTTGAACACATCTATACTCTTTGATTTCCCAATTTTCGATTTTTCATTTCGTGGTTTTGATACTTCATACTTTTATTTTGCTATTGATTATTTAGTTGCGTAGGTAATTTGTTAGAAACATTAAAAAAGTAAAAAATTTGCAGCTTGTCGTATTCGTCTAATCATAGATCTGCGAAATAAACATTCCAGATTGATGCAGAATTTTGATAATTAGCCTTGACAATCTGTTTTTAGATTTTTCTTACTTTTCCAAGTGCTTTTTAAAATTTAATTTCAATTCCTTTCTAAAATACACAAATGTGTATCCATAGAAGATAAATTTAACTTCTCTATTAAAAATAAATTTAACTTCTCTATTACCATTGAAAATAATGCGAGAGGAATATTGAAAATGTATTTCAATTATAAAGTTAATTACAAATATCACGTCAATGAATATTTATGAGGGAGTCATTGAGTTATAAAAAAAAAATCATCACCATCAGGAATTAATTGAAGTTCAATTAATATTTGGCATTGGTTTCACATTTATTTATATCTTACATTGTGCTTCATTCATTCACAAAGCTAATTAACAATCCGTATCAAACCTTGTTAACAACTATATCTTCGATAATTAAAAGAGAATACTCGAAGATTTGTATGTCGAATAAATTTTACCAAATCGCCCTAAAATGATTCACTATATCATTTTCTCGTATCATTCAATCAGTCCTTCATTTCTTTTTCTCATTTCATATTGCCCAACTCCGCCGAAAAATCTAGGTTCCTTTCTCTTCTTTCTTCGATTTATATTTTTTTCCTTTTTTTTAATAATAATTTTATCGCTATAATTTTGACGCTCCTTCAAGGAAACACCGTTGAGAATGGTATTTTTGAGAAGAAACGATTAGTAAATTCGGACAGGAACGTGTCCCAAGCATCCATCATTTTTGGTAACATTCCTCGGTACACCAGTGGCCAATATTCGTTGATGAAGAGCAGAGCAGCTTGATCTGAAATTTTTTTAATTATTATGAAATTATCAGTGGAAGAAATATAATATTTTTAGGCATATTAAGGCTTTCCTTGGAGTTCTTTTTATTTCAATTTTCTTTTCTATACGACTTTATGAGATAATTGTTTAGTACTATATATTTTAACGAATTTTCAGTAAATTTTTCTTAATATAATATAAAATATTTGAGTTTACAAAAATTTTCTCATTAGTGCCTGTATTGAAGTTTTTTTTTTATTTCTTTTATGCAAAAATTGTGTAATAAATATTAGTAAATTTCTTAATACACTTTACTTGAATAATATTTAAATTTATAAAAGTTGTCTTGCTAAAAATTTACAGTTTATTCTAGATTATTTTAAATTCCTTAGGAGATTATTTTTAAAAATAATCTCTTTGGAGCTTATTATAAAATATCGAATATGAATGAACGTAAAATAGATACGTATATGATATGCAATATAACTGTCAATCTTTCACGTTTCTAAATCTACAGAAATTACAAAGAAGAAAATACCAGAGATTATTGTGGGAAAGAAAATTGCTTAAGAAGCTCTAACGATTAATTATCCTTATGAAACATCGAACAAACAAATATACATATAGAGCAATCGCTATTATCAATTACTATTGCCTTATTAAATTTAATCTCACATTTTCTCAATAAATACAGAATAAGAATTTCATTATCTTTAAAAGGCACAAAAAAAGCATTTATTTAAAATGTCGACTCACAAAGTATATATTACTAAAACTAAAATAAAAACTGTGTTTCTGTTCTAACAACTTCTTGCACCACTCATACAATTAATTATGAGTGTACAGTATCTCTTACGAAAATATATCACTTACGAAAATATATTTCAAAATATATGTACTTCTTTTATACAGGTTTCAAATATTTCAAATAGAAAACAAACAAAAGTAACATATTCTAGGCCTTGAACAATCAAACAACAAACTAATAACACTAATAAATTAAATGTGTACTTACACATGTACTTATAACGAGATACATAGGATGAATATACTCGACGATCACATAATAGCCCAACAATAACGTAAGAGAAAAAGGGGACAAAAGTACCAGGATATGCAGCAAATAACAACAGAGACATAGCGTTTGCATGCTAATTAAGCGGCAGAGGATTCTCTCGAAACTCGAATCTTGATGTGCGTGTACTTACGGCAACGTAACATTACGCAATGATGGAATGTTGAGACAACATCGTGTTCAACTAATGAAAGTTCCTGCCGATTTGAGGCAGTTACCTTAAGTAAACAGCAAATTATTCCAACTATAGTACGTGCTACTTACCTCTATTATGTCACACCGTACTTTTTATAATAGATAATCGTACAATGAGTTTGTCATCGACACCAGAGTTACTCGATTATTTGTTCGTAACGTAACGAACCGATTTAATCGCGTTAATTTCAGATAACATAACAAGATGATTTAATATACTTACTGAGATCGTCGTTTCCATTGAAAAGATCGCTGAACCAGATCTTCATACCTCCAATTGTCGGCGTCATTTTAAAATGTTCTACGACCCATTTATCGTCCACTACGTGACCAGAGATGTCCCATACGGTTCTCATATCCTCCATGCTAATGTTGAAGAATCCTGTTGGATATAAACAAGAGCTTCTGATTTTACGTATTAATTAATCAGATCTAAGTGCATAAAATTTGATTAAATTTTATCAAAGAGATTAAAACATAATGTGAGATTAAAATTGAATTTATGAATTTTATCAATTTTATGGTATACTGAATTTTAACAGCGCTTTCATATGACTACAAAAATTTTAGAGTATTAATTGTTCATAATAAGAAATATTTTATACTATCCTAGGATATAGAAGTATTTTATATAATAATATTTTATAGAATTAATTTATAGTATACCTTTTCCACCAATTTTAAAGGTGCCCACAAATCCATCGACGTCGTAATTGCCATCGATTAAAACCTTTGGTATCTCCACATCGATTTCCAACCGGAACAAGTCATCTACCATTTCTGGTTTTACGGATAAGAAGTGCGCTTTAGTAAGACCGTACGTTCGAACGTCCATGGCAATCAATTTTCCACGAAGCTGGCCCTTATCATATTCCATCGAATAAGACTCGGTGAAATAGGGATCCAAAGGAGGCATATCGAACTCTGGCAATCCTGTTATAAAATTTGAAGAAATTAGTCTTTGATTCATGAGTAAAAAATTTGTGATTTCTAAATATTTACTCGCTTATAATTTTAAAATTGTCATTCATGTTATTTAGCTATAAAGTTGGTCATTGCAATTGCACAAATTACTATGACAGAATATCAATCATGGTTAAAATTACAGTTCAAGCTTTAAAATTTTTTGAAGAAGTCTGATTTGATTAAATTTATTGCTTCAATTTTAAGTTTCATGTAATTTATATATTCATAATTTTAAATAATTTGTATAATTTTTGGAGACGATTAATTGAATGAAAATCTTTAGCGGAAAAAAGGAATTAAACTGTAATTTATTTCTTATTATTAATCAATAATCATTCACCGCAATGTGTTAGTTATAAAATTAAATACTGAAACTATTGGTCATACTAAGTAGTATGCTTTAAACATAAATTTTGTAAAAGGATGTTTGTCAAATGAATGGAAAATCTGAAGTCGGCAAATAACGACAATTAGAAAACTGCAATTGGTCAATCAATCAATCAATGTACGATTTATTCTCTGAATAGATTAATTCATTGTTTATTTAGTCAATAAAAATGCTAACGCGACCTTTACAATTATGCAGCGTTATGTAATCCTTCTTACATTAACGCACTTCAAGAGAGAAATGCAATCGATGCAAGGACGAATTCAAAACAAGTTTAGACGAAAAAAGAATTGTGATTATTGGGTTGTGACGGGTATGGAAATTTAACTCAACGCATAAATAAACTGTTGGTTTCACTATCATGAAGATTATTATTAAAAGAGACACGAATTTTGATAATTGTATTACCTGAAATAAACGTGGGCCATGCTTCTTGAATGGCCAGCCTTAAACACGATGAGAAGTCATCGGAATCCCTTTTGCATGTTTTCACGGTTGCAGCTGTAGAACAAAGCGAAAAGAAGTTGTTCATTAATAAAAGGAAGACAAGACTTGAAGTTAAATTGTAATTTAATGACAGTGAGAAATAATTTCCAAGTAATTATAATATTCATTTATATGAAATACTCGAAATACACGCTTGAGTCTCGTTTTAAATTTCAAATTAATCTCTTCACTTCCTCGCATTATTTTTGATCGGAAAAATTTCTTTTTTTAGAAAATTTTGAAGTCAAGTAAATAAAAACCTCATTATTCGTACGTGTGATTTATCTCTCAAATTTTATATTAAATCTTTTCTTTAAATATTGAGAAACATAAAAAGATTAGAATTATATAAAATTCAAGAATCAGAGTCTTAAGTCACGTGTATTCTATTTTCTTTTATACGATTCATTAATTATTATAATTATTATATTATTAATTTTGTGTAAATTTTTCAAATTTGTTATTTTCTTTCTATTTGAAGCATAGAAAGCATATTGAATATAATTATTTACTATTAGTAGAATTATTTTGCAATCGTTGTTCTGTAATATTAATAGACATATTAATACGTTAAAGAAACTCTGAAAGAAAATCTTGACAATCACAAACAAATATTAAAGGCATTCTGTTTTTCAACGTAATACTTCGTAATGAAATCTAATTTTCCACGTTAAACTCATATATCATCGCAATTAATTATCGCATTTGTCTGATTAATATGACTCGTTGAAAAAAAAATAAAAGTAGTTCATGTCATTCTGTGATTTATGAGGGAAAACGAATGAACATAGTGAATGGTAGTTTTCATATTTCGCTAAAATTCAACTTACTAGCACATTGAAACGACCTACGTTAACTTTCTAACTCACTAGTTCTACAGAATAAACAACAGAAACTTTTACTTCTAATTCAAAGTAAAAATGAAACTATTATCGCGAATAATTTTAAATTTTGTTTATGTAAATTTATTATATAATCTATCACGTTGAAATATACTTCAATTTATTTCGTTTGGATTGTTAATTTAAATGTCATTAACTGCATCTTTTTTAGAATTGTAATAATTATTCTATGATAATTTCTTCTTATGTAAAATTTAAACTAAAGAAACTACGTCTGTAGAAATAAAATTTATTTTAATTGATTTCATTAATCAATGAATTTAATTCGTATAGTAGGAAGAGAATTTGGGCATGTACGAAGCAGCTAAAATCATAAAATGAAACCATTGCGATAGATAAGATAATTATAGGATTAAAGCTTTGTTCTCTAAGGGCTTTAAGATTCTATTTAACAGCGTCTCAGTTACACTTGTACTATAAAATTTCCTTTAATCTTTCCATTAAGCTCATCTCAAAAATCTAACTTACTACCGCAATGCAAAAAAAAAAAAAAAAAAAAAAAAAAATTAACGATGTCTTCAAATTCTTCCAATCTCACCCTTCCTTTCAAAAATCTATCATTATCACCCCAAAACATTCTCAAATAAAAATACAAAAATGAAGCAGAAGAAGTAGTTAAAGACGAGCAGATGACCGTGATAGAACGATCGTGAATGTAAACTTACGAAGCTGATAATCCGCAACGACGACAGCAAGGGTGCATAGCGCGATGGCGACCGCGCGAACGGTGTGGTACGACATGGTGTGCTTCGGTTAAAAATCTTCCAGCTAGCCTTAGTCAATTATAAGCGGTCCGTTTATATAGTTTCCAGCGCCAAGGACTCCGGGCAGAGAGCTACGTTGCAAAATTGCATGTCATTAAAGTGCGCCAACACGTGAGAGGCGAGAAGCAGCGCGCTACGCCCGTCCTAAGAAATACACAAGTGCCATTAGCTGGTGTAATGGTCGGTGTCGCGAATTCCGGGGAACGCGTAAACCCGCTCTTCTTTTATTGATCACACCGCACGAGCTGGTCGCTTCGATCGGAGGAGGCTGATCTAGCTTCGACTTTTCTGTCACTGGATCGGCATCCCTGGCGCGCGGGGCTGGCTCTCCTCTCGCGACCAATCGTCTGCATAAGCATTCTCAGAACCGTCGCTGGAATAATTTCCACGCTTGTTTACCTTCTATCAGTTCTGCCAGGGTACTTTCCAAACTGTATCAGAATGATCAATCAAGACGCAAGCTGATCTTGCATGATGATGTTACACACGGTACAACTCTTTAAGTCCGAGTTATACTATAGTTGCACTGTAGCATACTAGTTTTGTGGATAATTAGTTGGATCGAAAAGTGACATTGTAGAAGATTAAAGAATTGATAAACGAAATTCTTAAATCGGCCTTGTTCTGGTAAGAATTATTAAATAGAACGAGCAAAGAGTGGGCTCAATTGGAAAAATACAATGTTTCTTTCGTTTCGAAAAATTCTATGAAGAAAGCCTGTGTCTCCATTCACAGGAAGATAAGGTTCATGCTACGTACAAAAATACGTAAGCAGTTCTTCCTGCATTGCAATACTGAAATGTCTTAACATGTGCTTGTAAGTGGGAATTAGAGGTTTACACAAGAATACAACCAAATAATAAATATGAATGAAACCCTACATTATCTTTAACACAATCCCTTAAACTCCTAAATATAAGAGTGATCAATACAGATCTTTATGAAAATTCAGATATAAGCATATATATATAAGTTGCACATAAATGGGTAAACATCCGCAGACTAATGATTAGAGTAGACTATTGATTAAATAATTAATTTCGTAATCACCAACTGCTTATTTAATGATAGAACATTGTACAAACTTGTTGTATTGCTCCTATTATACTCATTCACTTCTATATCGAGCAATGTTTAGCTTCTTCTGTTTGTAATTGCTGTATTAATGCATCGCGTGTTGGTAACGTGTAATGAATGGATTCTGATAGCACGTTCACCGACGTTTAATTATCGTCAGACGACGCCACATACGAAATTATAGTACGATTTCACGATACCAACAACCATAAAAATACGAAGAATAGTGACTCATGGATTCGAATACGAATCGATTCAATTGAGTTTATTGCATTGGCTTCATTCCTTTCGGATTTGTAAAACAGTAATTCGTTCAATTTTAATTTATATCTTATAGCATTTCTAATATTATATTACATTAAAATCATAATAAAGGAACATTATGTATTAGAATATTGTTACAAGCTTTATAGTATTACTATAGTATTACTATAATAAATATAATAAATAGTTTACATAATAAAATAAAAAATAATATTTAATAATTATTAATTAATTATAAATATAGAATAAATAATAAAAAATATATTAAAAAATCATGCAAACGTTAATAAATTATGTTAATAGTATAAGAAATAATACTGTTATTATTATTATACATACGTGTTGAAACATCCCAACTATGCAGTACTGCAATGATTGTAACATTGATTACCATTACATTAACAATAATATATTACTATACAATATAGAATGATATTTTAAAAAGTTATATGCATGCTGTGTGAAACAACAAAGTAATCACAGAGTAAGCCATAAAGAAGAGAAAACAGTTGTTCAAACGATTTGCGGTACAGGAGCTCGTTAAAATTGTCGGTTTATACCTGATACCTCTCATTGTTAAAGGAGAAACTCTATTGTACTGTGACCATTAGAATGCAAGATACATTAGTCTAAGTTTTATCTTATACTACGACATGCTAATATCAATGTATATTTTATTAATAAAATGTAAAAATTTTATTAACAAAGATGGTATATATTTTGATATCTTTTAGAATAAGTTCATTTATCGCAGATAAACGTGACAATTATATTGGAATATTTTATTTTATATTTTTCATACTCTCTGATCGCTTCTCTGAAATTAAATCAAATTAAAAATTTCAAAATTGAGCAACGTAAAATCTAAATTTGTAAGGATCGCAATGTCCAGTAATACCAGTTAAAGGTTACACTGAATCATTTGCTTCAAAAATATCCCTCTATCATTCACCTCAATTATTTCATTTCCAAATCCAAGATAAAATTAAATACCTGATTGGTATCAGAGAATATTCTTAGAAACACAATCGATCGAAAAGATAAACAACGATCGATAAAAGCATGACCCGTGGCAATAAGATCGCGCGTAGATCACGTGCGAGCAAAAGTAGCCATCCGTGACCTTGTGACCTTGCTACCAACGGTGGCTAGTTGAAAACGATACTGTAAACAGATGACGACAAGATGTCCCTATGGAATTGCTACGGTACCGTCTACGCAGTTTTATGTAACAGGGGATTACGGAGAGCGCACGAACCGGACGCCCTTGGATCACATCGCATCGATATGAGAAACTAGTTTTCATCGGGGAGGCGACTGACAAAGAAAAACGGCCAACGAAACTGTACCACATACTTACATGCCTGATCAGTCTATCTGACTCTCACTCGGTTTTTCGAACGATCGATCGATCGATCGATCGACACAGTTAATCAGCGAAGCAACCGATGAACGAACGAGCAAACGATCGTCGACGAAACGGTTCGATAATTTATTCAAACAGCAGGAGAACTATCAACTCGATATCGGTTTCACTAGAATAATTAGGTTAATGAATTTATTAATAATTTAGATTTGGTAATAATAAGTAAGCTGAAATTAAATTAAATTAATGGAAAATGGAATAAATAATTAGAAATATTATGATAAGCAGATTTTGGATATTTTCATGTATTTTTATATGTTTTCTATCCATTTTTACAACATTAAACTTTTATAAATACAGTGACAGTTAGGTGAGTAATACAGTGATAGTTAGGTGATAAGATTGTGACTATCAATGCGTTTGTAAGAATTACGAAAAAGAAGAATTGCTAAGAAAGAAACACATTGAAAAATACGAAATATCTATAGTAGAAGTATTCTTTTTTAATATTCTACAAAATCCACAATATAATGTTTAATTTTTATATTTTCAAAAAATGAGTCAATTACTGTACCTTGCATTTGTTCAGAAGAAAATTACGCAGATCTATTGGTTAGCATTTGTAGGCTGATTATGCGGTTCACCGCTCACTGAACGCTATCGTGGAAACTAATGCAAATGACACAAATTCGAAATCTATACTAGATTGCATGTTGCATAGCGATTTGTAAATACTTCGATAAATCCGTATCTAACGAGGGAGCAACTACGAGTAAATTAAAACTCATAATCTTAAGATATATAAGCTAGTTTTTCTTTGAAATGGCAAATATAAACATTCGAAAAAGGTACACAAATCTAAACAAATATACTACGCCTTTAAACAGATCACACGAACGTTGCGAAATATCGTAATCTACTCGAAATGTTAATCAAAAATATTATAATTAATCATTATTAATTTTGCCTTTGAGTATTGTTAAATTTTTTATAATTTAAATTACTTCTTTTGTAATCACATCATTGCTCACATTGAGAAAAACATTTACCGACTTCGTTCGGTCGGTAATCTAGATCGTGAGGCATACTTTTATGTAGCGCCATCTACGTAGTACAATCTCGTACACGCATAACCGGGACCGCCATTGATTAAACCTGTCAGAGAATCAGCTGATCGGTTATTCACGTACGTGAGATCAGCTGTGCGCAATCATGGACGCGTTGAGCAAAGAGGATTTTGTAATACCTCCGGCTAAATACGAATGTAAGTATCCAATATCGTATCCTGAGCGTAATAACGCATCAAATTCGCGAAGTGAATAGTTTTATCATGCTAGAATGATATAACCGGCAACCGGCACGCCATTATACCGGCATCCATTTTGCCACATGTGGACTAGTCGAAAACAAAATTTACAATGTCATTTTACATCCAATTGTTTAAGAAAATACAGACAGTCATGCATACGTTTTATGTTTTAGATTTGGACCACACGGCGGACGTACAGTAAGTATTCAGTTCATAAATCCCTTACGATCAAAGAGGATATATTTTAGAGGTTACTTGCGGAGATAACCTAAAACAAAAAGTAGGACAACGAACAGTTACTGTTAACAGAGCGAAAAGTCTCTAAATTGGTCTAATGATATTACGTTATTGAAGTAAGAATGTATCATAATATTTGTAGCGTATTATAGATTGCACGCATGGGGCGATACTCTGGAAGAAGCTTTCGAACAATGTGCGGTGGCCATGTTTGGGTACATGACAGATTTAGAGCGTGTTCAAATGACACAGTTGCACCACATAGAAGCGGAAGGACACGACTTGGAAAGTCTTCTTTTCCATTTCCTCGACGAGTTATTATTCATGTTTAGTGCCGAACCGTTTATCGTTGCAAAGGTATATTACATTCCTAGAACTTTGATTACATCATCGTTAGATTTAAAATTCCCTGTCAGTTATAAAAACGCATTACTTAACATTTCTTCGACTTTTTTTTTATTTTTTACATGGTGTCATTTAATCGATGAATCGTCTCATTTCATATGTTTAATTAACAATTTGGAAATAAAGTACAAATCGAAATAAAGTATCTCATTCCGCCCTTGATACGCTGTTTTTGTGAGTCTTGTAAGAGAAAGTATCCCTTTGTGTTATCAGAAAGTGAAGATCACTAATTTCGACCGCGAGAACTTCAAGATCTCTGCGACGGCGTTAGGAGAAGAGTTCACGATTGGCAAACACACGCAAAATGCTGAAGTGAAAGCGATTACGTACTCAGCGATGCAGATCCTCGATCGTCCTGAATCGGAACGTCCTGAACTTTTCGTGATCGTAGACATATAGCTATCTCGGGCCCAATTCTATACCTTTCGTTTGATTTTTTGGCGCCCCATGTTTAAGATACGAAAACGGAAAAGCACATAAAAATATAGGAGCAAGAAGGGAGGTACGTACCTTCTCTTAAGTTCTTCGTAGGGCACGATCCTTTTGTAGTTGCATAGGGTTCAAATAAATACGTTACGAAGAAAACACCGGGCTCCCTTCTTGGCTACCTGCCTCAGGTACGTACAAATGCGCCAAGGGATCCTGCCTTCTTATCGAAGATACTGATATCGATCAAGAACAACCTCATAAATATATATAATCGTAAATATATAACTGTACACAATTTACTTGAGTAACATAAACATTAAACGTCCCTAATTTATTTATATATTGTGCTTGTTATGCTAACAGCTGTTCGATTGTTGTTGAAGCTGTTAACAGTGACTTTTAAATAGCGAGAAACATATGACAAGTATTATATACGAATATTTGTATATTTTTATAAATGTACAATAAAGATATTTTTTATGTTTCGTGTTAGTAAAAATTCGTAGTTGCGAGAAATGTAGAAGGATTAACTTATGAATTGTTGTAATAAAATTGTAATTGAAAGAAAATACGAATTCGAATGTGAGTCATCGATTGACGTTGAGAACTGTCGTGCGAAAACATGTGAAAAAAAAATCGAGCATACTTTTGCACGTGCAAAACGGTACGGCCCTGGCATCCAACACCCCTCCATCGTGAAGGAAGCGACGACCGCCCGCTTAGTTTCGGGCAAGAAACGACAGGGAGTGGGATCCTCTGAATCTTCAGAAGTGTGTGTGCTCAGAAAAGAGAACTAAAGAGTTTCGGAAATTACATAATACGGATGTGTGTTAATCGTTCGTTTGATTCTTGCCCCCTTTCCTTCGTGATAAGGCCCATGTTAAAGGGACTCACTGCCAACATCAAGCGTGGTCGGTTTCGAAAGCGCACACCCCTGACCATGGCGGACTGGGACAGTAATAATCTCTAAAGACGATATATCGTAACGTTTTAAGCTGTCAAATACAAATAACCGATACATCAAACTTGAACGTGTTTCGAGAAAGTCGCGGCATAGGGATTTTTCACCTACATGCCGGAGCTTGCGTGGCAGTTTCGTGGAAAACAGGAGGGACAGTTTTGGCGCGTATGTTCCCTGTCTCCGTGAAAAGTTCGTGCAATTTCTGTATTTCTGATCTTCCACGGTCTGTTTCTCGATCAACATCGGTGACATTCTGTAACGGAAAAGCGTGACATCGTGTATCCATCGTGGAACATCGAACTCCAACGAATATAAACAAACGTTGTCGCGAATGCCTGGAAGATCATAGCTGTTTGAACAGTTCCAAGAGACAGGCAAAAACGAGTGGATGAGTGTAAATTCTGTGAAGAATTGAGAAAAGGTGTCACGATCTAGGAACTTTTTTGGATATCTGCTATTGCTGGCGGCGCGGTAGTTACGGACGGAGAAAAGCGAAGTGACGGTTTTGGCGCGCGTATTCGACTCCTGTGTGCGACCGGCAGATGGCCGGTGCGCCGGTACGTTATAGGCGCGCGTCCACGAACACACCGACACATGACAGGCGCCTAAGCACGTACTAGCACAATGACAGAGGCACGTTCAAGAACTTATTGAGTCAGTAGTGGAAGGCCACTACCACGTTAGTACGCGTGTTGGTGAGAGCGCAGTAGAGCGCACGGACACGAGGTTCGGTATTACTACTACCGGTACAAGCGGGTCTATCTTCCTCGTAGCCCGAGCCAGTTGCCAGCGCGCCAGCCAGCCCCGTTCATCCAATCGCCCAGCTCACGAGCCGGCCTCGTGTGTGCGCGCGACACCCCGACGGAAAAGGTTCGTTTTCTCGTCGGTGGCTCGACTGATCATGTCGAGGCGGGGCATATCGTGAACTTTAGAGCCAGTACATTGCTTGGAACCTGAAAACACAGCGAACGCACGTACAGTTTCGGCCCTTTACGCGCGATTATTTCGGGTCCCCAGTCCGCTGCTGCTGGTGCTTGGGCTGTCGTTCCTATTGCCGAGATCGGCCCTGCAGAAAATGGATACCGCACCAGTGCGGTAGAGAGGCAAAGCGAAACAAATATATAGAAAAACAAGCGTGGAAAAGAAAGAGAGAGAAAGGGATAGATATATATATATATATAGAGAGAGAGAGAGAGAGAAAGAGAGAGAAATAAAGGCCACGCAACTACTACGACTACGACGAGGACAACGACAACGGTTTGTAAGCTAAGAAAGAAGGACAGAGGGAGAGAAAACGAGTGAGGGCGAGGGAGTAGTAAATCGTATGTACAAAGTGTGTATATGATATATACCAAAGCGGAAAAAAAGTAACAGAAACATTACGTGGACGGGTTAGCCTCGGGAGACCGGGTTAGGAGAGAAGGTTCGTCGTCTGGTCGACTCTTGGGCGAGCACGTTTCTCTGTCCTGTCATCGACAGGCCTAAGTGAAAACAGCATCTAGAAATATCGACAACGCGATAACAACGATCACGATCACGACGGCGACGTATTTGCCATTGAGGAGGCACGGATATGCCTCGCTGGTCGGTGCTGTGACACGCGCCGCGCCGTGTGCTGGCTGAACCTCCCGGAAGAGAGCGTGGGCCTCCGTCTCAAAATACTGTGCAGTTTCTACCGCACGCTTGAGAGCCAAGTAAGTGGAAATAAACACGCGTACAATCAGTTTTTCCCCAATATGTATTCATTTATTTTGACCCCGATCGAGAGAAAAACTTCTTTGTCTAGGGGAAATAGTAACAAAGTTGTTTCGGAACATCGCACTCCGGATTCCCATCCAAGAAGCCGAGAGTGTGTTTTACAACATACCTTTTTTTCTATCGCAGTCTCTATCGTGTATGAAAGATATGCTTACTGGAGCGCATAAACTGAAAGAAAAGAATGAAAAGAAAAAGAGATGAGAGGAAAGAAAAGAAAAAAGAAAGAAAGGAAAGGAAAGAAAAGAAAAGAATGGCCCGTTATTTCGGGCGCAACCGATTTAGTGCGTCGAAAGTCGCTGGCATTTCTTACGATTAACCGCGAAAGCGTGCATTGATTCTAGGTTTCCTCATGACCGTGCCGGTAGCACGCCTAACTAGGGATACTCTAGTCCCGGCTTGGCTCTTTAAACGGCTCTACGTATTGCGTGCGAATCGTGCCGTTTCCCTTCCTGTGTGCGTATTCCTTGTGGTGTGTGTGCGCGCGCTCGCATAATCGCGCTCCCTCGTTGTCCGCTCGCTCGCGCTCACTCGCTCGCTCTCGTATGCATGGCCGCTTCGGTGCGTGGCGTGTGGATTTATATCGCAAGCACGCATTATCCGTCTTTAATAAAATCGCAATGAGTTTGTTGTTTTGACCGTGGTCGAACATTTTACATAGTATTTCAAATACACTAGAAAAAAAATAAACAAAAAACGAAATGAAAACAACCTCTGAACCTTCGATCGACAGCTGATTGCGGTCACTCTGTGACAATCAAACAATCTGTAAGATCAGATTCATTATGATGCATATACGGTTTTTTTTTTGTTTTTATCATTGCAAAATAATAAAAGAAAGACAACGATTGTTCGGGTCCTGTTGATAGACCTTGCGACCTGTACGGTTTCCACGAGCGGAAGAGCGGAAAAAAAAGGGGGACAGCAAGGTTCGTCGCTAACATCTGGGGTCTGAAGCCTTGTACACACGGGGCATTCCTATTTATCTGTCCAATACCCACTCGAAGCTTTCGCTATATTTCTTATCTCTAGTGCACTGCGCACTTTTCAGATTTCCATATTCTATGAATTGGTAGAGGAAAGGAAAGAAAGATAGAAAGATTTAAAGGAAAAATGTAACTGTTGCATCAAACGAAGGTATTGGATTTATCGTATGCTTCCTTAAAGATCGTTCGTGTGGAACGTTTGTGAACGTTTATGTCTAGTCTTTTAAAGAGCACGCTCCTACCAATCGATGGGCTCTAGGCTAGTTCTACATCCAATGCCGTTGACGCGAGTTACACTAGTTGGGTTTTATCTTTGAGATAACATCCTACCAATCAATGCGTCCGCACCGTGCATTGCTCCCAACCTTCGAATGCGCTTTATCGTGCTATTGGCCTCGCGATCGTTCGCGTTGTATACGGTGTGGTATGGTGTGTACTCGGCCAAACAAGCGAAAACGAGACAACCACGCAGTTCGACCGGGAGTTTGCTTCTAAAACTGCTTACAACGCAAGGCTGCTGTAACACGACGATCCTGCGGCGTGCCTCTTTAAACCACACCCGGAACGCTGCCTCGTGTTCTCGGGACGCTTGATCTTTTTTTCGAAAATTCTCGTACGCGTCTGCATCGTGGGTCTCTCACTCCGCTCAGGCGCGTAACGAGTCTTTTGAAAACGGGGGCCTTAGGAACGATTTTCTCCTCCTTTTTCGCGGCTATTTTGTTTTTCCGTGATCTCGGCTTCCACACGATGAAACATCGTGTCGTAGAATCGGAATAAATAGATAATGAAAGGAAATATGTAACTCTAGGGAATTTTTTTTTTTTTTAGTTAACGCATTGGAAATTAATCGAGAAATGGTACCTCGAATGTCATTATTCAAAAAGTGAAATTTACATTTCAGTTTTCTCTTAAATTAGTATTGTTTTATATCATAACATTTATAAATAAATAATACACGGACCATTTGCTTATAATTAAGATTACCTTTGATATTTTAAACAATAATATAACTTATTTATAAAGTGTTTCCTTAACTTGTTTATAAAGTGATTGAATCTTATTAATTGCCGAAATTGTTGCATAGTATAATTTTGCCGTTTTTATAAAAATTACAGGAAATGGCTGTTAAAAACCTAAAAAAAATCATAAGTCACATAACGAACAATGTCTGTTTCAGTTTCTTTTTGTTTTTGCATTTATTTTTCTCTCGATCTTTGCAGCTGCTGTACACTCGCATTAAAGTACAATATAGAAATTGATCTGTAGGTTTCACCAGATGTTCAATACTTGCAGAATTGTCACCTTGCCGTTTGGTCGACCACTTCCGTTTCGTTATTTCATAAAACAGATTATTTTTATGTACCATTACATTCTAAATATTCAAATTGTTTTATCTTTGAAACGTCATTATTTTCGCCAAAATAGATATAATTCAAGTATATAATAAATAAAATATTTTATCATAAAAGCATAAAAAATAAATAGAGAATGATATATAAAAAATAATATCGAATAGATCAGTTAAACATTTATTTGTAAATGTTATATTGATTGTACAATGATAGAATTAATTCTTATGATTGCCCATATATTTTCCATCATTTTTTTTTTTTTTTTTTTTTTTATTTTTGTAACACGAAAGTTTGTCATTTCCTTCGTGAAGACAAATGCGAAATTCTTTGGAATACGAGTTCTATTATTAGAATCTACCAATGTTGCTTGATTCAAGAACAAAAACCTTTTCCCCTATGCTGTCTGTTCTTTGATATGCATCTAAAAAGTCGCTTCTCCTTAAATGTGTTATCGCGACCGAATAAATTACACTCACAAATGGATGGCACTGACAAAAACTCGAGAATGAAGGGACAACGATCGATAGAAATTTTTATCGGATCCGCACCTCTCGTTGTCAATAATTTTCATATATAAATGGTATATTTTTGATAAAGCATATACTGCAAATAAGGTTAACAAGGTACTAATATCATATTAAGATGTTGAATTTCATGTTATTCGACCAATTTTTTTTTTTCCTCACTTTCAATCTTCATTAATATCTAGTAACGGCACGTTTCAGATAATAAATAATTTTTTGCGACAAATGATATCAAATGAAAAATACGTGTCCGCCAAAACAGTATACATTTATTAACCTTCATACACGATGTGTACTGCATGACACGTTTTCTTTAAACCTTCGACAGCTCGATTTAACGAAACATAATCAAGGAAATATACTTATAAAAGTCATAATCAACATTATCAACATTCACTTCATTGTTAATAAATTATACAGATATATAATGATGTTAAAAAAAATATTTATTGATATAGAATGTAATTAGTGATTTAAACTTATAGAATAAAAGATAGTTTTTCAAATAATATAGAAGTATTAGTTAATATTTTGTATTCGCTAATAAGTTTATTGTAATACCTTGTATATTTTATGAGAAAATTTATGAAATATTTATGTTAGATATTTTTCATTGTATTTTCTTAAAAATGGACAGTATATTTAGAAATGTTTATATTTTCTTGATAACATCTTCTTTAATATGTGTTTAGTAATTTAAATTATATGTATTTGTATAATTTACATTAATGTTTTTATATGATGTAAGAAATTTTTGATTAATTGTTTTTCCCAAATTGTAATTGCCATTGAAACTTAATTTTAATACAAAGTAACAAAAGTATTTGATATTAGGTGAATAATAAATCTTATTTATCATTTGTTATTAAAAGCATATATTTAGTAGTACTATTCTAATAAAATGACATACTTTGACATACTTTTTAACATATTATGGTATAATTTTCATATGTTCTATGACATTAAATGTTTGTGTAATATTTAAAATTCTTGATTGGAAATGATTGAAGAAAATAATACTTACTGTATTTTTCAGTATTATCTTTTTCAATATTACTTATCTAAGTTTTACATAATGATCTTCATATTGCATAAACTTATTTTATATGTTACTTATTATTTTATATGTTTTATCATAACTGTTACAGATTCTCATAAACAGTAAAGATGCCTCGAGTTAGGAGACAAGTGATCTTGGAAGATCCTGCCAGGCCTGTCACACCTGATATGGGAGAGACTAAATTACGTATGTATTAATTGCATGTCTCTTCATTATTTTTAATTAATTCATCTGTGTATTTTACATGAATTACTTTTAGTAAAAACAGAGTTTTTGGACGATGGCTCTTTAGATGAAGTTCAAACACAAAAAATAGCTGAAGAAACACCAAGTCCTCATCTTCAAGATCACCAATATGGGCAAACACCTTGTTATCAAGTAACAAGAAAACCTACACAACCACCACCACGAACTGAAGTAAATAAACCTACATTGACATAATTTTTAGATTAATTCCTGGTGAATAGATTCATTCAACGAATTATGATATTCTTGTACTATACTATAAAAAAATTTTAAATATTATTAAACTATAACTTTAAAAATCAATTATTTATCATAAATAAAATTGCTTAGAAATCATTCCTTTTTTTAATTTTCTCAAAATATTTAATTCAATTATGATATACTCTGTAATAATAAAATATTCTGTAATATTAAAATTAATATTGCAGTATATTAATATTACTTCATTATTTATAGCAAATATCAGTTCAGGCGGTGAAACGAAGACTGAATTTGGAAATGGGTACCACAGGTCCTAGCCAATCTGCCTTTAAGGCTCCTAGAGGTAAACGTAGGAGATCTGGATCAAGTTCTCTAGTTGGCCACACTCCTACAAAAAGTAAATTTCAAGCTTTTTTTTCTTAATACATTATCGTTCGCATTTTGGAGGAAAAGAAACGTTATCTTTGATTTCAGGTAAAGCAGTAGAGAGAACGCGATATGATACATCACTGAGCTTACTTACAAAAAAGTTCATACACTTAGTCGAGAGCAGTCAAGACGGTGTTGTAGATTTAAACGTAGCGTCTGAAAAGTTAGAAGTACAGAAACGTCGTATATACGACATTACGAATGTATTGGAGGGCATAGGCATTTTGGAGAAGAAAAGTAAAAACAACATACAATGGAAGTACGTTATTCGTTATTTATGAAAAATCAAATACCGAATTTTTCCTACTCGATAGATAAACTATTTTTAATTAATTGTTTTATTTCACAGAGGCGGTCAATTACCAAATGACAAGAACGATATCGCTGATCTCAGAAGGGAAGTAGCAGATTTAGAAGCTAAGGAAAACACCTTGGATCGATTGATTCACGGTGCTGACAAAAATCTTAGAGAGCTATGCGCAGACCGACAATACGCTTATGTAACGTATCACGATTTACGTTCTGTCCCAATGTACAAAGACCAGGCTATAATGGCAGTGAAAGCTCCGCCAGAAGCCACACTTCATGTTCCACAACCTATCAATAACCTTGGTCAACAAAAGGTGACTATTATTCTTTATAAAAATCATTGTTGAAATTAGAATCAATATTTCTGCATAATTTAATAATTTGTCTGTAATTTAGTATTTCTTGATTATTTATTTAATCAGTTATTTGTATGCTTACAGCTTCAAATGCACATGAGGTCATCTCATGGTGAGATAGAGGTGTTCCTTTGTCCTGATGATCCTATCGTGAAAACGTCTCCCAATCCGGGTTACACGACGACGCAACCTGTGCCTTCGTCAAAAGAATCCGAGATACCTTGCTTGCCTCCTGAACTGTTAGCCAGCGGAGATGAACCAGTACCTTCTCTCGAGAGTTCATTGAATACACATTCAGGTACACCGATTATATCTGCTGTTACCAGTTTAGCGGGCATGAGAGACGCACTTTTATGCGAATCTGACGATTATGGACCAATGGGTGGTGGCAAATTCCAACTCCAAACGGAGGATCAAATTAGCACATCAGGTAGGATCGCGCATATTTTCTGAATTAGGATTTATTAAAATTTACTTATTAGTCTTTATTTTTCCTTCGCCTTTTTTTTTAACGAATTTGTAAATGCTTTTAAGTAAATAAGAGATTTAGCAAAGCAAAGTTAATGCATTTGTATACAATGTTAATTTCTATTCTCTTTTATAATTATTTTCTTTTTTACGCTGTTTCTCTTTGCACGCACGCTTTTGAATGTTTCGCTTTATTTTATCATCACATGCTAATAATTGCAAGAAGATAAATACAATCTATTTAATATAAATATCTAAAATAATTAATATAAATATTAAGCTTGTTTTTATCTTCTTGCATCATTTTTCAAATTCCTTAAATTTGTTATATTAACATATTTATGGTAATTTGTAATGGTACTGAAACAATTTTGAGAAAGTTATTAATTTTCTATTAATTTTAATAATTTCATTAATTGTTATTAATTTTCTCCTTTTCACTTCTGTCGTTATTTTTCTTTTATTTTTTTTTTTAAATTATTGTTAACGCAGTTGTACTTTCACTTTATTTTGTTTTATTTTATTTTATTTTGTAATAAAAAATTTTTCAACATGTAGTTTATTATCTCTATACTTCGTATTTGAAACATGTTTCTTCCTTGCATAAACAATTTATCATTTTGATATACAAATTTTGTTTAAATACTTGAAAGAAATGCATGCCGTTAGTGAATTCTGTAAGGTTTCTTACAATAAAATAACCTCTTCAAAAAAGAAAGATAGCAACAATTTCATTATTTTTCACTAATTCCATTGATTTGAGCTATCTTTTTTTTCCTTGGTCTTCTACTTTTTCAACAATGGAGGATATCCGCCGTACCCTGATGGAGCTCTGGCTGTGACTTGTGTGTTAATAAAATAAAAATCACATCACAGGCAGAGTTCTAGTTAGGTAACGGTTTCAAACAGCAAAGTTCATGTTGCGCGAAGGTACGTTTCACGGATCAAATAATTATTGGCTTGTCTGTGTTTCAATGCACTTGTTCTTCTGATATTCATCTCATTGAAACAGATTACTTTCTAATCTTTCTATTCTATTGCTCTTTATCTTTATATGTAGTGTTATTAGAACGTTATATCTTATTATTATATATATTATATTTTTTATTATATATGTATATAATTATCTAAATATATAAAATATATTAAATTATTTAATTATATACATATAATAATTATATGTATATAATTATCTAAATATATTAAAATTATTTAAATTATCCAATATTTTTTATTATATATGTATATAATTATCTAAATTATCTATAGAAATTGGGAACTGTTAAAAATTAATTATTTTTCATTTTATATTAACTGTTATTTAACTATTTGCCTGCTTATAATAATAACATCAGTCTATTATTGAGCTATACAAGCGACGAATAATCCATAAAATTTTTATGTTATCGGAAATAAATGAAGAAATCAATATAATACATAATTTACTGATTATATAATTATGCAAACGAACTTTTTAATTTTTATTACGAAACAGTAAATTAATATAACAATTTTAACAGTTTAAATCCCGCTGATGAATGCCCGTTCAATTTAAATAATAAGTATATTCAAAAAATATTCAGATACAATCAAATGTCTTTTGGAAAATTACAAAGAAAAAGAATGAAAATTCTAATAATAAAAAGAAAAGAAGTGGAAAAAAGGAATAGACTATGAAAGCGATGAGACGGGACAATCCCAGCATTTTCTCTCTCTTCTGTTGCAGATCTAAGTATTCTCGATTTTGGTGAGCACCTGCTATCTCTGGAACCGCCTCTCTCCGAAAACGACTATTCGTTCGCGTTAGGAACGGAGGAAGGACTTTCGGATCTCTTTGATTTTAAATTTTAAAGGATATCGTCCTTATTCGTCGTCATCGTCGTCGTCGTCGTCGTCGTCGTGACACATAGAAACACACACAGAAACCCAAAGACACTGCTGTCTTTGTTTTTCTTTTTTTTTTTTTTTTTTTTTTTTTTTTTTTTTTTTTTTTTTGACATGAGTTCGCCTCTTTAGTATTCGAATAGGTAGAGATCATCTGATTCATCCAAACAGCATCGGCGTTTTCAATTTATTTTTGATTTTATTCATTTCAAAAGGGAACGATTGAACAGAAAACAACAAGAATATAAATCACCTGTCGGTCCATCATTCAAATTAGAATAATAATAATAATTGAAAAATATAATAACAGGGGCATTACGTTTGTTAAATTACAATGAAAATCAATAAGCTTCTGGCAATTTTTTTTGTTACAGATAAATTTCGTTTCTCATATAATTTCATAGTTAAAGAGAAAGAAATACGAACACCTGTATAAATATATTCAAAAGTACATAGTTATACGTTATTCGAATACTGAGTACTTTTGTCGAAAATGTGTCTCATGTCGAGATGTATGTTTTTTTCTTCTTTTTTCTTTTTTCAAAAAACATTTTTTTAAAATGACCAACTGTGGATAGCGTTTATCACAGTCGGTCCACTTTTGAAATTCGGTTTGAGGATAAGAAAACACACAGCGGGAAGGGAGGGGGGGGGGGGGGGGGGGTATTAACATATCACGACAACGGTGAACGCTCGCGGTGAGTATTTCCGGCTTGATACGGTCGCGGCCGATTGAGTTTCTGGGATTAATCAGTTTTGTAAAGCTACTCTGGCGGGGTTCCGAAGCGCCGTTTTCTTGTGCAATGTGTAATAAATATTAGAAATGATCTAAGCCTATGGAAAGCTAGTTGAGAAAGGAAGAACGAATTGAAGTAGAAAGGAAGGGGATATAGTTGAAGTTTCAAAGAGAGGAGAGACTGGTATTGATGAACAACTGCGATGTTTCCCTTTTTTTTTCTTTCTTTTTTTTTTTTTTCGTTTATCTGTGGTTAATTCATTGAATTGTATAGAACGAAGGAAAATTACCATTAGAATTTCAATGAAAAGGAAAAAAAATCCCTCCTAGTGTACATGTTTCTGTCGACGTGATAATATATAATTGATTAACTGAAGAGTTAAGGATAACGTATTTTCCGGGCGGTTGTTTTTCTCTTGTTATTACGACTGATTATTCTTTTTTTTTTTTTTTTTTTTTTTTTTTAAAATCTTGTGCTTTCATAACGAGAGGCCGCCGTCCGGAACAAGTCAAATTGTAATTATTAAAATATTTATCGAGGTGAACATGTATTAAAAGTAGGCTTTATCGGCGGAATCAAGGAAATTCGTTTGTAAAAAAAAAAGAGAGAGAATATGAGAGGATAAAAAAAAAAGTGAGAGAGGGTGAGAGGGAGAGAGAGAAAGAGAGAACGAAGATAATGAGAAACGTGAGCGGCTGGAAGGCATAGTTTTTATTCTATATACTTTTGTAATCGATCGAATTTTCCGAGTAGAGAGCGAAAATTTGTACAGTTCTATGCACGAAGAAAAGAGAAGTATACAATAATTGAATTTATCTGTCGGTGCGAATGAAAGGAACATTTTGTGGCATGTAAAGAAAAAAAAAAAAAAAACGAGCACACACACGTAACAAACACGTACATACACGAAACACTTGATCATCTCATAGATTCTGCCGAAGAAAATCTTATATTCAGTCAGGCTAATGGATCATCATGGGTTAGCTTCTTCGATGATGTCCTAGCGAACACGGAGACGAACTTGAGCGTACGGCGAGAAAAAAAAAATAATAACGAGAACAAAGGAGAGTGAAAAGTAAAGGAAAAATCTCAAAAAGCAAAATGAAAATCTTAGGGCGTATCGTTGCATGTAAACACACATATATTTAATTCGAAATCGTGACGATGAATAACGTCTAAGATTCTTTTCTCAGAGTACAATGTTATTCTGGATCTGATTTATAAAAGAGGGGGATTTTTCGAAGAGAAATTTGCGTCAGTGCGCCTTGACTTCTGCCGCGTGAAACGACGTGGAAAGAAAAAAAAGAGAGAAATACTTGAAAAAGTCGCCATTAACAGTGAAAAATTTCATCAAATATGAAAGAGGAAGAAAAAGAGAGGATTGAACGACGAATAATTGTTCCTTGAGGGAGTTGAGGACGCATTGGAGGGAATTGTCTCAGTTGGAAGTCTCTTAAGGATGTACCCTAAACGTACAACTTACAATTAGTGTACGTCCAAAGCCATAGTGCCTACACAATAATGATCACACCCTTCTGCAAAAGAAACTGTAAATAATTTACGTACTATGCAAAAGTATATGAATATATATACATATATATATTATATATATTATATATATACATATATATATACACATAGTCAGGCAAAATGTAAGAACTTGACAACCCCGATAGACAAAAAGAAAAAAAAGAAAAAAAAATGGAAATAAAAGAAAAAGAAAAACCGGATGCTGCAGACATCTCATTGCGATTATTACGAAATATTGATTAGTTAGTTTTAATTATGATTAATAATTAATTATTGAAGCATTATACGGCGAGAAAGATGTTAGTTTATAAATTCACTTATTATATATATGTACGATGTATATGTATATGTAATAAGTATATAGATATATATTTTATAGTCAAGCGAATATTGTGCAGAATAATCGCTGTATTATATTTCACTGGACGAAACATAGAAAACATACTTTTCCCGTTTTAAGAAATCACTTAGAAACATCAACGAAATGTTTCTTCTAGCTGTACGTGTATTTATTTCAACCAATAATCGCTTAATTCTGGAACAAAAGAAAAAGAAAATGATCGAGTGTAACTTTCCCTCTCGTCGTTTTATCGTCGTAAGAAAAACAAATAAGATAAAGATCCTCGGATAATATTATTCTGCACAAGGTTCGTAAGCGCGCAATACTTATTTGTAACAGAGAATTGTGTACTAATTTTATTTCTCGTTTCTTTTTTTCTTTTTCCTTTCGAGTAAGCTAATGGCGTCGCGCTTTTTTTCATATGCATCATGCAACGAGAGGGAAAGCAAAAGGGAAAAAAGAAAAACGGAGAAAAGAAGGAGAAAATCAGGAAGAAAACATGAATTGAGAGAGAGAGAGAAAGTATGTGTGATATGATGTATGAATGAATGTAATGATCGAATAACGATAAGTAATTGATATGAATTTTTGATGGTTGACGGTTCGATTAACGATCCCGATACACCAGTGAGAAGTTATGATATTTTCTACCTGAATATTTGCGGGGATCTCGGCGAAGTCTGAGCGTATCTGATATTTTAAGAAGTGTAATAGTAATGGTTCATTGATACATATATATATTGTATATTTTATTCTGTTCGATGAGGGGGAAGTACAATCTAAGAAACACATCAGTTATAAGAAAGAAAAAAGGAAGATTGGGAAAAAAGGGAGAAAAAGGGAAATGAAGCTACGAATGTCATTGGGACGTTTTCAGACTTACCGGGATCTTTTTACAATAACTTATCGCGAAGATGGTAGTCCATCAATTTTCATTTTTTAAACCAGATTATTCGTGAAAGAGAAATCTCTGGCCCGCCTCTGGCAGTCTATCGAATAAGGCGCTCGGCGTATTTTACAATGAACAACAGAGCTTTTCCTTAGTTCTTTTTTTCTTTTCTCATTTCGTTTAGCGGGAATTTTATGATCTTTACTTAATCGTGATCTAATGTGGTAGGGATAAATTATTATTGTTGTTAGCGACGAGTAACAACTGTTTGATTATTTAAATTAAGAAAAGAAATACAAGAAAAAAACGTTTAATAGAAATACGTTGCTTTAGATATTCATGTACAAATATTCTTTTAGAGTTCGTTCAATTCTAATTCGTCAGTTTTTTTTTTCTTTTTTTTTTATCGTTATTCATACATGTGCGTTATACACGCAAGCAAGTAACATTTTTCTACGAATGTATTTGAGAGACTGTTCAGAAATATTGCTGGAACCAAAAAAAAAAAAAAAAAAAATTAAATTAATTCTGATCTATTGTCTTTAAAAAACAAAAAAAGTAAAAGAGTGATGTATATATCAGTACGACGAACGAGAATTTTGTCACATTTTACGGGCATGACCCGTCGAAAGATATAGTAAAAAGAAGATTAAAAAAAAATGAAGAGGAAGTTACAAAATATAACCTTCTGTAACATCATAGGAAGATGTGATGTTTTTAATTTTCCATAACCTCATATTTTTGCTTATCATGTCTTAGACGAAAAATTATGCTTTTATCTTATTGTATATAGGATAAAATAAGGATGTATTTATTTTTTTTTTTTTTTTTTCGAATCGAAATTTCCGTTATTCAACATTGACTTCACTTGTTACTCGGCTCTATTTTAAATTTAAATTGCTACATAGATAATTTTGCACTTGGAAAATTCGTTCGTAAAACTTCCGAATAAGTTCTAAATGTCTATATCAAAATAATAAATAGTATAGTAGAAGAGATATTTTTTATGTACGTTTAATACGTATAACGATATAATAAAATAAAGCATCAAAACTTAATTTTGATCGTCATGAACATATTTACGCTTACGCCATTATTATATCATTATGAATCGGCATAAAACGATTAAATAATTTTAACATTTAAATCTACGTTTTTGATATTTTATTTCAATTATAATTTTGTCAAAAAAAAAAAAAAAATTAAAAAGCATATATGAAAACATTTGATCAGTGCTTTTATTGAATAAGAAGTGCACGCATTTGCCTTAGGTTCAAACGAAGCGCGCATGCGCAGCGCTGCGTGCCACTACTTACCTTCGCGCCGTAGCTGATTATTTGCCATTTCCGCGTCAGCGTTCGAGGAGGGAGTATCGCTTGTATTTCTATATTGATTATTTTTTACATGTTTGCAATCATTTACATACGTTTAAATATATTTACAATCTTATATACAGACATAAAATTTAGACATAATGTATATACTAATAATATTATTGATTATTTTCGTACTTTATATTAATACGCTATAGGTTAGAATAAATAATAGATAACTGTCGTACACTTCACAGATTGTACATTTGGCTTAAAAAAATATAAATATAACTATCATTATGTCAATTATTTGTAGTCGATATGCAATACTTATTTTAATACAAAGAAATATATCTAACGATTCGACACTCGTCTTTATTTATGTTGTCCATGTTTAAGTTTGAAATTAAACTTACAACAAATCCGCGTCTCAGGCTTGATAATTGCTTGAGAGAAAACATCCCTAGCGTTAAGACTTTGTCACTAGGATAATCGCTTGCGTTGCGAACTAGCCTAAGCTTTAAATATTTAATAGAAGGCCTAAGACGCTATACGTAAAGGTTTGATTTATACTCATCAATAGAATTTATTTTCCATTGGCGCGAATTACTGTGCGATCTTCTAAATTTAGAGAATATTTAAAGCTGACGACTGAAAAACCAACAGCCAAAATAAGCAATTCAAAGGACACAAGTATGCCGCCGAAGTGTAAATTTCAAGAAGGTATATGCTTAATTTTTAACTGAGTTATATCAAAAGTTCTGGCGTACATTTAATAACTTTTTATCACTTTAATAATAGACATCTTTTTTATTCATCTGTAATTTTTCATTTTATTTCTAACAAATATCTCATAATTTGTAGGGGAAAAAGTTCTATGTTTTCATGGGCCATTAATATATGAAGCAAAATGTCTAAAGTCCTCCATTACAAAGGAGAAGCAAATTAAATATTTCATTCATTATGCAGGATGGAATAAGAAGTATAATTTCAACTTATATTATCTACTTTTAACATGGTTAAGATTGTAATTATGATTGTAATGTAAATAGTTGGGATGAGTGGGTTCCTGAAAGCAGAGTTCTTAAATACAATGAGGCAAATGTTCAGAGACAAAAAGAAGTTCAAAGAGCACATTCAAATCAACAATCTGCTCAAAAAAATAAAAAAGGTAGCACCTCTTCTAAAACTCAAGGACGTAGAAATGAAGGTGGACGTGAAAAAGATACTGATAGCAGAGCCAGCACTCCTGTTGCAACTGTTGATAAAGGTGTCAGTCGATTTAATAAAGCTAGCAGTGTGACACCATCATCGTCACATGATTCTACATCAGATGCTCCACGTAAAAAACGCAGGTTAGTTCAAGAGAAATTTTATTAATTTTTACAAGAGACTTATTTTCATGTACTAAAAATACTACATGTAAAAAAAAATAAGAAAATTTATTACAGCCGACTAGAACCATCTGGTGAAACAGAAGAATATCTTACTAAAGTTGAAGTTAAAATTAAGATACCAGAGGAATTGAAGTTTGTACTTATAGATGAATCAGAAGTAATATTAAAATATCATAAACTACCTTCTTTACCTGTAAAAAATACAGTTGACAAAATTCTAGATGAGTATGTAGAATCAAAATCATTGGGAAAAAATGATTCTGTTAGGTATGTTTATATAAATCATTATTATTTTTATAGATATAATTTTATAAAGAGATATAACCTCAAATTCTTTGTTATTTTTAGGGAAAGTATATTAGAAATAACTAAAGGTATTCGCGAATATTTTAATATTTCTTTAGGTTTACAATTACTATATAAGTGGGAACGTCCACAATTTATTCAAATTATGAATGATAATCCTGAAACACTGCCCAGTCAACTATATGGTGCATTTCATTTACTAAGGCTATTTGGTACTATTTTTAAATAGTAATAAATTTACGTAGAATTGAAAAGATTATTATTAAGCCAAACTATATTTGCAGTGAGACTTGGGGGAATGTTATCATATACTACACTAGACGAAAGAAGCATACAATTATTATTATCTCATTTTCACGATTTCTTAATATACTTACAGAATAATAGTACTGAACTTTTTAATCTTCAACAGGACTACGCGGACTCACCACCCGATTATCACAGAAAATATGCCTAACTTAATATAAATTATTAAATACTTTTATTTAAATCCAGCAATATCTATCATATTTCCTCAAAAATTGACAGCTGCGATTTGTTTAAGAAATATGTACAGTGATACAATCTAAGAAATAAGTCGATATAGAAAGTGTAAAAAAAATCTTCTTTTGGATTTTACTCAAAAATTTTCTAAAGGTTTAGTTTATTAAACATAGAAAAATGTAGAACATTTTATAGTATGCTTTAATTTAGAATATAATATTAGCAAACGGTACTTTTTATTGTAAGTACAATGTATTACGATTTTATTATCTAATTACAATTTTATACATATTTAGAAATATTCTATTCATGAGAATAGAGCTTGTGTTTAATTCATACCATTCCAAGGACGCATTTTGTCTGTCCTTAATTTTTAATTTTCAATTAAAATCATATAAAATTGCTATGTTTACAAAATTATGTATTTGTATCATGAATGAAGTGTATATGGTAGATATTTACGTTGGTACATATAAATATATGGTTTTATTATATTTTCGTGGTTTATTATATTTTCGTGTACCGCAAGACAAATCAGTCATTAGTTGCCTTATTTAAATTGTAAATTCAATGATACGGTGGAATCATAAACATTCTCGCAATATGCAAATAGCTATTGTTCATATGCATACATTTACATAAGAATACAAATTTTACGTTACATAAGACGTATTACAGTTGTATATATATATATAGCTGAACTAAACACAATGCAATTGTATTCATCTAAATCGATGATCACATTATCTGGGAAATAATATTTTATAACGATAAAATTAGATTTTGCAGTGATCATCTAGTATTTACGTGGAGACCGGCAGTCGATAACAACACACGCACACAGTGAAAATCGACAAAAGTGATATATGCAGTTAAATGCGTACACAAACGTATCATCTAGTCTACAAACATCAGGTCAGTCAGTCAGTGGCAAGAAAAAATGGCGGATGTCGAGTTGAACGTCGACAACCTGATACAAAGATTGTTGGAAGGTACGTGATAAAAAAGAGGGCTTATGTGAAAAGAAAGTGTGAAGTTGTTCTCGGTAATATCATCTTCAGTTTGGTGTACAGTTGATCGAAAGTTTTCTTGGTAATACCCAGTGAAAATCGTTCGATGCGAAGTCGCGCCGCGTACATCGAGTATATATATCTATTTCTTTCCAGCCAAAGGATTGAATCGTGCGCGATCTACTTTATGACATTTAATATCTGTGTTTATTACAAGTCTACGAAAGGTTTTCCTCGAGTCTTTTTAGTTTATCGAAAGTTCATTTTAATTTGTGGTCCGTAGAATATTATAGAGAGAGAAAAGCAGTACACACACATATATACTATATATATATATGTATAAAAAAAAAAGAAAAAGATATCGATCTCTTCCAGTTGTTGCAGTCGTCGTAATTCTTTAGACATGCCAGACGTCTTTGGATTTATTCCGCACATTTTCTTTATTTTCTCAGAAGGCAAAACTATTTCTTTTTGTTTGTTCTCTTTTCTCATGCTACATGTCGGAACACTCTTTGCGGTAAAGTATACCACACGCAGAAAGACCAGGTTCAGAAGAAAGCCAAGCTAAAAGATATTTTCTCGTCGGATTTTGTCGGTACGCAACAAGGAAACCACCCCATGTAGTTCTTTTTTTCCGTTCTTTAGTTGCGTCTTTACCTGCCTCAACGTCGTGCGTGAACGCTCGCCATCGTTTGCTTATGATTTACAATGTAAAATGAAGTAGAAAGCTAGATACATAGCATTGTGGCACCTGCAGCATCAAAGTTCTCCCAAAGATATCATCTTCATTCTCAGTCAACTCTGTCATCATATTGATAACGTCCCATCAGCTTTTTTCCTTATCATTCGGATTGTGCGTGTAATTTAATTTTTTTGATTTTTTTTTTTTGATTTTTTTTTTTTTTTTTTTTTTTTTGAAATACGTAAGTAAAATGTATTTAATGTCTGTTAGAATACAAAGCTTTTGGGACTGTCCGTACAATGAACAAGTACACTGAACTAGAATCACTTCGTTTGAACAATAAAACCATATTTACACGAAAGATATAATTTGTAACGACCCAATTTGCACGTAAATTATTGCTTGAATGCAGATTAGATTTACATATGCATGCTTGATATGATACTTGTCAGTGTTGATTTAAGCTTTTATACAAATAGTATGTGTACAGTTATTTTCCATTTTCTTAGTGAATCGACTATTTTCTTAAGAGAATAACGTCACATTCTTTTTTCTCGAGAATTTACGGCACAGTTTGATGTATTTTCATGACTGTTAATGTTAATGTATATACTATCCTGGCATATGTTTCTCTCAATGTGTTCAGTTGATAAATGTACAACACTGACTTTTCTCAAGCATTTGTTGCAAGTCTCTCATTTGACATACATATACCATAAAAAGAGTCAAATCGTTTGTTCTCTATCAGAAAGATTAATGTATACAATACGTAATACCACCACTTGATAAGAAAATTCATTCTGAGAGTTGCAGAAGGAAAATCTTATTCAATTAGAATGAAGATGTTAATGCTTGGTGAAGAATATTCATTTTGATCTTTCCTGCGTGTCTACAGTATCATCTCTATATTTTATCGCGAGTAAACATAGGTTTCTCTCAGGGAACGTTTAGCACAATACGCGAGTTGATATCGCTGTTAAAATAAATCGTAGTATGTCGCGGCTAAAGAGCAGCCCGGACTATCGCGTGTGCAAGCAAATATAACGATGACGATGACTACAATTTTTTTTTTTTCATCGTACGTTCCGTTTTCATAAATAAACCGAATTTATTAATACATTTTGTTTCCGACATATTGCCATTTTCGAATTCTCTGACATTCTTCCACCTCGGGGAACTCCGTCGTTTTTTTCTCTCTCTCTCTCTCTCTCCCTTTCCGCCATTAATTATGGTAAGCTTAGATACTCGTTGATGTGACCTTGCTGATATGCAGTTTTCCAATAACCACCATCGGCCCAGTTTAACCGCACCGTGAATTCCTTTATAGCTATAAATAATCCAGTGACACTGATACAAGGTTTCGAACAGCAATCTGCGAACGAAATTTCATATTTCTTTGCTCGTTCGTACAACCTCCCCGGCATATATATATATACATACATGTATACCTCTGTACCGTAGTCTATATTCATATATCACGATCAGTGGTGTTTACACGTGACCACTAGCCGGCTTAGAGCTTTTGTTTTCGACTGTTCCACAAGTTTACGCTCATACGGCGCATTATTCGAACTCATACAGCCGCTTAATCCCTTCGAAGCATTATGACGACGGTATATGACAACCTTTTGTGTCCCCGATTATTGCATCAGGAGAACACCTATATCGTATCGCTTGATGTTTTTATGGTCGAATCTCGCGCGAGTATAATATTGTTGTTTAAGTGATAATCTTTCATTACGTGAATCTAAGAAAACGTCTAAATTGTTTTCGTTTCAAGTTTATCTCCTTGAAAGCTATTACTAGAGAAAATCATTAACGCTATTCATGGGATGAAATTTCAACCGTGCACATCCTTTATTTTAGAGAGATTATGATAGAGTTTAAAAACTGTTTGTTACTTGGTACTATTACGGGACAGTCGATCAACAATAGTCAAATTGAATTAAATTTAAAAAAAAAGAAAGAAATAGTCTTCGATGCTACGGTAAAATCGTTCGTTCTTGTTTGACACGTAGCTGTCGATCCGTAAAATTCGCTGGCACGACGAGCGTAATTCTATCCACGATATCTAGCGTTTAAGAGGTTGAAGGCACGGAATGTGATATATGAATAACGAACTTTGTCACTTGAGCCGATCGAAAGAAATTAGCCACCAACTCCCCCAACTGTACTTGTCAAACTGTATTTATGTAAGCAACAAGAGAAAACCCGAACGAACAGGACGATCCGTGGTATCCGCATAATCGTATCACCCTTGTTTTCTCTCCCATTTGAGACAAACACATACACAAAAAAAAAAAAAAAAAAAAAAACAGAAAAGAAAAGAGAAAATCGGTTCTCGACAATCTCAGATACCTTCATGCTCCAGCGTAGAGTTATGCTCGATGTACCTGTGACAAAAAAACGACTCTCCGATGCCTCGCGATGCGTCGCCCAACCCCTCGGGGAGGGCTCTCCGCCCCCAGGCAGAAAATCCATTTAAACGTGCGAATTTTTGGGCGCAGTCCGAGGATGCCGGCCAGGAAAGACGGTGTTAATGTCAGAGAGCGAGGTGCGCGGCCTTTGCCTCAAGTCACGGGAGATTTTCCTTCAGCAGCCGATCCTGCTTGAATTGGAGGCACCGCTTAAGATCTGCGGCGATATCCACGGCCAGTACACCGACTTGTTACGGCTGTTCGAGTACGGCGGTTTCCCGCCGGAGGCGAACTATCTGTTCCTCGGCGATTACGTAGACAGGGGCAAACAGTCGTTGGAAACGATATGCTTGTTGCTCGCCTACAAGATCAAATACCCGGAGAACTTTTTCCTGTTGAGAGGGAATCACGAGTGTGCCAGCATAAACAGGATATACGGGTTCTACGACGAGTGCAAGAGAAGATACAACATCAAACTATGGAAAACGTTCACCGATTGCTTCAACTGTCTACCAATCGCCGCGATCATCGACGAGAAGATATTCTGCTGCCACGGTGGCCTCAGTCCAGACCTTCAGGTGATACGGCGTCAACAAACGATTGAGAATCAATTTTTCGCGGGGATCTAACATTTTTAATTGCTGGTTGAGAAAAATTTTGACTATCTCACGTCGAGGCATATTATGATCAATTTTTTAACATTGACAGTGGTATATTTTTAACCTTCTAAGTACTAATGTCCGATATATCGACACCTATGTAACATCTGAGAAAACCGAATGTCAGATGTATCGACGGTTTCTCTTCTCTTGTCTTGAGTCTTTATTTGATTTGATTAACTTTGAAAATACGGGAACTACATATAATTTATATGAAAACATGTAAAATTAAACTTTGCCTGGCGATTTAAATCCGTCCACTAGCGAAGGTGGATTTAAATGCTCCGTCCTTAGAAGGTTAACGATGAGAGCTTATCACGTCTTAGATTTTATAACTAGGTATTTATTTGCATTCGTGGTTATTGAACTTCTGTATAGTTATCATTCCATGGAAGCAGTAACAATCATGAAGGATCATGAAAAATGATCGTAAAGAGAAACAAAAAAAGGTGAAAGGTGGTACGGAGATATTTACATGAGAAATATTTTGATAAATTGGATAAAAGGCAAAGTTTCTGTAACAGGAAGTCGTTTCTCTAACGTTGCGTGCAGAACCGTCGCTTGAAATCGATACCTCGTTTTAAAGAGCACTTCTTAACAAAGATGTTCGTACGAGCATTCGTTTCATTAACGATATTAGAGTGTAATTTGCGAAATGGCCCTCGGACAACTTGTGTTTGTCAATACGTTGAAATTTGAGATGTGAAAACGAAGAGAAGCAAATCGGTAATATAAATGGAGTCTATATTTAAAACTGAGTGTGTTCAGTGCTATTTTTAACGTGTCAAAATGAGTTAAAATTGCAATTGTTCGCACGCAAATGTCAACTGACTTATATAATGGAGCGTATAAAATCCGTTGATATATATTTATGTAACACAGAAAAAAATATATCGTGTGAAATGCAGACTCGCGGGGGAAGTTTATTATTCAGTTTTCATTCAGGAAATGAGAATTAAATTGGCGAACGTAATATTAAAAATTAAATTCTATCAACCTTTGCTGAATTTGATGGCTGTCCATTGCATATCCATATTTTTCTCGAACATTTCGTCTTGAAATTGAAATCGCCTGTAGTTCGTGATGGAAAATTTATTAAAAGAACTTGCCACTAGAAACATTGATTTTTTATTTATACGCGCAACGTAAGGAGGAAAATATTAAAAGTTAGTATCTGTTAGAATGTCAAAAGATTAACATCTTTATGAAATAAACTATCGATTGTTCACCATTCATAAAAAGTCAACAAGATTATCGCTTCAGAAATGTTGTCAGTAGAGAAAAGGGAAGAAAAATATGTCACTGCTCTGTCTTTACTGTTTGATATTTTTTTGAAATTTCGAAGAGAGGATTTACAAGACAGAATTTTTTTTTTTAAATATTAATTTGATAATAATTCAGCAGTTTAATAGGCCCTTTTCTCACAGAGATTTCCAATTGTTGAAAAATGTTTGTGTTCTTTTGTTCAACAGAATATGGAACAAATCAAAAGAATAATGCGTCCGACAGATGTACCTGATACCGGTCTTCTCTGTGACTTGTTGTGGTCCGATCCGGACAAAGAAGTTCAGGTAACAATGTTTCTTCATTATGTAATTCAAGCACCTATCGATAATTGAACCAACATACTATATGGATTTCTGTCTTCCGTGTTTCAGGGATGGGGTGAAAACGATAGAGGTGTGTCCTTCACATTCGGGCCAGACGTGGTATCGAAATTCTTAAATCGCCATGATATGGATTTAATATGTAGAGCTCATCAAGTAGTCGAGGATGGCTATGAATTTTTCGCGAAACGACAGCTGGTCACCCTGTTCTCCGCGCCAAATTATTGCGGAGAGTTCGACAACGCCGGAGGAATGATGAGCGTCGATGAAACTTTAATGTGCAGTTTTCAGGTAGGACTCGTGAATATCCGATATATATATAACGTTGCTCGCTTAAATTCCAATAAATCAGGAGGATAAATTAATAACTTATTTTAAAAAGAATGTACGTGCAATTTCATATTCTCGTAAATAGGAATTTGTATTATTTACCAAATATTATAGCAAGCATTTCACTTTTAAATTTCCCGTAATTACACAAAAATCTTTACGTTTTAATTGTAACATTTTTTTATTTATTTTCGTTGTAATTATTTATTGCTTTTTTTTTTAAATAAGGTTGAAAAATACTGACAATGAGCAGTGGAGAATAGCGAGACTATAAGTGTTGAAGTTTAAGCGAGCACCTTTTTATTACTTTTAATTATATTGTAATTCTTTGTGCGTTGTTTTTTTTTCTGCGAGTTGCATGGTGCATTTCGTTCGTGTTTTATCTATTATTCATGGTGTACATGCAGATTTTGAAACCGTCAGAGAAGAAAGCTAAGTACCAGTACTTAAGTTTGAACACGGGTCAAGCCACGAGACCATCCACACCACAAAGGAATCCAGCCAAAAAGAAATGACAGCCTTGTACTCGGTTTTTCCTTCATTTAAGGAAGCTCGTCGACAAGGCGACAAAATTTTTATTAAGGCGCGAACATTAAGAGCATAACATTGTATGATATGTTCTGTCACTAACTAGCGGTTATGCCAAAACAGATGAATAGCAAAAAANAAAAAAACAAAAAAAAAAGAAAAAAAAAAGAAAAAAAAAAGAAAAGAACCGGGTGAGACACGTAGTGGTGTTTGATCGTCGGGAATTATTTGTGATCGTTGAAGACTTTAAAAGCAAAAGGCAATTTTAATTTCTTTTCTTCGAGTACGATTTAAATCTAGCATTTTAAGTAATTATTATTATTATTATTATGTTGACTGATTAGTGATTAAAAGGTAATCGTATATCGATAGAACCCGCCCCGAGTGTGCTTAAAGTTTGAAAACAAACAAAAATCAAAAAAAAAAAAAAAAAAAGAAAAAGAGAAAAAAAAGGGAAGGAAGATAATCTGATTTCGTTAATATTTTTTCCGTGAGTATTAACTTTCATGTTTCAGTGTAATGAAGGGAAGCGAGTAGAATTTACTTCTTTCTTCGTAAGTTAAGTAACATAGTAATTAAAAAATTAACACTTTTTTTCTTCATTTCATTTGGATCAAGGATCACTTCTGTGTTCTCTAGAAAATTACTTGCGCGTATCTTCCACATCTAGATGATTCTTTTATTAGCGTTTGAAAGAAATTTGACACTCTCATTTCGATTATTTATTATTGCTTCCATGTTAAATGTTCTGTATAAACATTGCTGATTATTCTTAATATTCCTCTTACTCTCATTGCCATCGCTTTGCGGCTGATTTGATTACAATTGTGTTAACGAAACGCGCTGAGCATCATGTACATAGATATATAATTTTTCCATTTCGCTCTGCAGTTTTTGTTTCTTCATCTGGTTGTATCCTTCTTTACTCTCGTTAAGTCGTCATCTCTACACACTAGATACTTTAGTTTTCAGTATTCCAAACTATCGACAGCATGTTTCAAGGTACGTTGTAGGAATGTTAGATTGTTTATTCTCGATGAATGGAAAAAAAAAAGAAAAAAGAAAAAGAATCAGAGAAGAAACAGAGAACCAGTATTTTTAAGATGGTAACTCTATGCAGATTATTATTATCGTCGAAGGACACATGTTCGAACGAAACAAATGGGTATTAAAGAAAATTAAAAAAAAAAAAGAAAAAAATTATTTCAGATGCATAATATACTTATTAACGAGGTTGTGTGTAAGAAGAAAGAATCTCAGTCGTTGAGAGATTTTAATCTTGCGATAAAATAGATGGAATATATATATATATATATATATACGTATGTATTAAACATTGATTTACAGGATACCAAATCGTTAAAATGCAATTACACTTGTTACTGGATAATAAGGAGAAGAAAGTCCTCGGATGATTGTCATTTCTAAGAACGTACTATTTCACTTTCAGATGTTTTTGTCGCATTTCATTACGTTTTGTCAACTCGATTCTCAGGTAATCACGTTAATACATTAATTAATCGATATGAAGCAATACGCAAGCATTTAGTTCTACTTAAACACGTGCTTCGACAACTTGCATCGTATTTCATTTTTGTTTGTACTTTGTGAAACGTTTATTCTCCTCGAGTATCTTTCAAAGAGAGTCGTTCCTTGGATTAAGTACTACATGATACTTCTGCTAAGTTGTGCAATATAAATAAAATGTAGCTCGGATAATAAATGAGAAGTTTAGAAAGTATCAGAAACGATTTGAATACCGACGTGTATAGAAGATAAGTATTTAAGAATATTTACGAAGAGTACATTAAAATGGAAATAATACACTATTTGAAAAAAAAGCGAAAAAAAACGTAAAAAAAAATATATATATATAAATATATAAATAAAATGAAAAGTACATTAGACCGCACCGTATCATTCAGAATAAACTTATTATATATAGTTCCAGAGGTGAACAATCGTAAAACGGTCGTGAAACGGTATTATCTGAAAGTGAAATAAAATCGACTTCATTGTTAGATAATTAAATATAAATGAAGTAGAAAAGGGAAGGACTAGCGAATTTGTTTATATGAATATTTGTAATTTATGTTTGTTAAAGAAATTGTTATTTAAGCGACGAGGATGAATCATTGTGAACTTTTTTCTATATATCCGTGAGAATTTTAATCGATTTATTACATAGGCGAATTATCATTGTGAATTGTTAAATGGAAGAACGAAAGGAAAGAAAAGGAAAAAGAACAGTGTACCGTGGGCATATTTGATGAAGTTGTTGTAACGGTACGAATCGCTTTGAATCAAGCATTTAGATAATCCTTAACGGAGGTGACGTGATTTGAGCGAAGCCGACTTGAAAACGGCGATTTTTTCTTCCCTTCCCGCGCCATTGACCTCTTTCTTCCTCTATTACTCCCTTCCGTTATAAGTTTAATTGTAAAAGAAGCGGTTGTGATCCCCCGGTATTGCGTTTTTTGTCAGAGACTCGTAAATTATACACACACAGATATATTATATTTGTAAATGGCCGATCGGCCGGGATCCGACGATAATCCATCAAATATACGAGAGAATATAAAGTGTAATACTAAATACTAAGTTGTTTGAAGTTGTAGATTCGGCTATTCTCTGTTGTTACGTCGATCGAATCCCGGCAAACTAGGCCAACGCAATGGACATCCTAAAGATGTAAAACTTTCAGATAATAAACATGCATATTGTTGTACAAACCTGTTCCTCTGGGTTTGATATGATTTTTGCTTTTAAATTAGACTTAAATTAGACTTTTAAATTAGATTTATATGGATGCGAATGCAACAGAGAGAAAGAGAGCGAGAGAGAGAGAGAGAGAGAGAGAGAGAGAGAGAGAGAGAGAGAGAGAGAGCGATAAGATCGTTTTGTAAAAAAAAGATTTGTAGTAAAATTTAGGCAGTGTTTATTTTATTCGTAGACAACACGAACGAATAGTACAATAAACCATGATGGCGAGAAACATTAATAAATAGTAGTACTCCGTGGACGATGATACGCACTTTGAGAAAAGAAATAATCAGGCAAATAGGTATCGAAATGGTTGCTTAGGGTACGATGCAAATACTCTTTCACATTGTTTTTTTTTTTTTTTTTTTCGGGTTTTTTTTTGGTTTTTTTTTTTTCATCGCTTATTTTCGTATCACGCGTTCCATGCGGGGCGACACAGTCATCAGTAGGCGTGTGCTGCAAAAAAATCGATCGATGGATCAGGCACGAATATCAGTAAAAATAGAACGTTTGCTTCGAGAGTTCTAATCAAATGAAGCTGATCGAATTCTCGATCGACGATCAAACGAGTTCAAATTCGATTTTTCGGAGTGCACTCGATCACCGAGGTTTTTGTCGGTTATAAAGGATCTTTGTAATACAATATTTTCATAGAACTCTCGAGGCGTGAGGCTATAGGGATGTAGAACAGGTGTATATTACACATAAATAGTGAGAATTAGAATATCTTTCAACAGAGGGAGGAAAGGAATGTCTTTACACTGTGAAAAAAAAAAAAAAAGTTTTCGACACGGATCGTGTTTCCGGTGTCTGTCGATATCTCGCGGGACATCTGAAGCTGCTTTATGTTAAAATCTGAAATCGCCTGCAAACACAAACTTGTCGACGGAAGATCCGATGAGAACAATTAAAAAAATCGTTGAGAAATCGTGAATTAGGGGTACTTTTGTATTGCGTTCAACTTAAACTCCGGGAGTTTCTGTTTGCAGGGCATGCCTCGATATTCTGTCGATATGTACACAATTGTATATTGATATGCATATTAGTCGAGTATATAAAGGAGCGTGTTTCAAATAAAAAAAAGAGAGAGAGAGAAACCTATTAGAAAGGACGTTGTAAATCCAGGCACGTAAGTCACGTACAAAATACAGACAATATACATATGTATGTGACACTGTTTGGGGATAATTCTTCGTTTTATATATTGGTTTTCTTTTTTTTTTTTTTAATTAGATGAATTATTTCGAATTATAAAGATGGTAAGTGGTTTTTATGATCTTATGATGACGCAGTTAGAATCGATACATTTATGTATGTATGTATGTGTGTATGTACTTATGTGTATTTCAGTATATCGCTCGAACAGCCCAGGTATGCACGAGCTATGATAATAATGATTCTAAACTCTCGTTCAAAAAGACTCGTTTCATTTTCGTTCGTGTTACGTTTGTTACGTTGCAGCTGCGTGTTAATAAATGAATCTCGTCGTAGCCAAAAAATATGTACAGCAGCGTGACGTGATATTCGTTCCTTCTGATTATTTGTATCTCACAGAATTAACGTGTAATGAGGATAACAGGGGTTGCAAAACACATTTGGCCACATTTTAATCTTATCGCTCACTTTGTTTCTTAATATGTGGTACGTTTATTGTACCACGGGCGAGTAAAGTGAAATCGTGGAACTGGCTGCGAATAATAGTAGTATAACGATCCTGAAATACAACAGATATATTTCGAGAGTTGCGTATCACCGATAACTCATTGAGAAATTCTTTTTTCTTCTTCTTACTTTTGTCTTTCAATTTATTTCGCTTTTTTTTTCTTTTTTTTTTTTTTTTTTTACTAGACTTTATCCAATTTTTTTTTTAACTGTTTTCTGAATTCTGAATACGTATTTTCTAAATTTTCGAATGCAACCTCTTTTATTATTTTTTGTTTCTTTTTTGCTAATTTAAATTAATCAATTTAGGTCGCTTTCATGCAAATAAGTGCACATCTTCGTATGTGATTTCATCAGGCGAATAACGTTCGATCGAGGCTCATGTGCATGTGACGGCACAATGTTGAGAAAATAATCTAGCGAGTGGATGGCTTCGTATCAATGAAATGAAACCTTTGCCAGGCGAAACAATGCTGCAAAGTCAGCAACACTATCATCGCAGTTAGTGCATCAGTACGAGAAAAAATTGCAAGGTACTGCTTGTAACGATGTCGTTTAATTTCAATCTAAATTAAATTCTCTTATCATATTTTCAACTAGCTGACGTTTAAAAACAAGCATTCAAATTTGTCTGATTTAAATATCTCTCTGACCAATCAAACATTCGGAGAAATATCAAAGAAAAAGTTTAGATAATGTCAGAAAGTTTCACAGTTTGAACGATTAAATATTAAAGTTAAATAAAAGTTTTTTTAGTTCTAAATTTACGAAATTTTTGTAAATGAAGTGTTTGCTTAGCAATGACGGTGAAAGCAGAATATTGAATGGATAAAAAATGGATGTTAACCCTTTAGTGATGATATTATTACCGTGACATTTGAATAAGGCGAGCGTTGGAAGTATTAGCTTTACTATAATGCTTCTGCCTTTGTTATGTAAAAAGAAAAAAAAAAGGACAAGTTGTTTATTGACCCGAGCATCTTGTAATTTAACAACCCGTATATAATTTGCTTCTTTATAAATAAGTTTCAAGTTATTCTCATTATTTTTGTCAGCACTTGAAAGTTCACTACGTGTGACGTAGAATTCAAAATTACATTTAAAGTGTCACATGGAACCGTCACGAATTAAAAAACATTCTTGAAAATTCTCTTGAATTAAAAAAAAAAAGAAATTGACATTTATGATATATTGATTCTGAATTAATAACAAAATTCCTCTAAGCGACATGGAGAGTCATATCATTTTTTTTCAGTAATTTCAAACAATCGTTATCGTAATAAAGAATTACTGCGAGCATTCCAGATTATTTGTAACTTTGCTTTATTTTTGAACAAATCGTGGAGATTAAAACTCGCGGATGACAAGTGTGCAAGGAGAATGAAGGTCCTTGTGGCAAACACAATAAACTTCTTAAACTGAAGACTGAATAAACTCGACAAAAATAAACTTAACTTTCAATCCATGTTGCGCACAATTTTCAAACGTTCGTCGTGGGTTTCTGCTGGTACAATCCATTTTGCTTCAACCACTTTCATCAAGTTTCTAATAATAAATCTTTTATGCAACGTCTTTTATGCAGGTGTTCGATTCGCGGAGGCAGGCGACACGGTTGAATAATGGTGTTTTAATAAAGTGCAGCGCAAACACGCAATCGTTAATTAATCGACGAAAGGCTGCCAAGAGGAAGGAGCAGTTGGCTCTCAGCCGGAAGTCCGCGTCCGGCACGAGTCGCCAAGAATCACGCCGAATCGTTTCCCGAGAAGCAACAATATCTTGCGCTCGAGCCAAATGGTAAACAATCGGTCGGATAATGCCAGACGTAACTCCATTTTATAAGACGTTACGCAACCAAGCACTCGATCGAACGTCGCCGAAAGAAGAGATTTTCATTCGAAGCGAGAAATCGTGGGATTTTGTAAATAATTGATCACGCATCGATAACAACACGCGTGAATAATTGATTAACGGCGACGAAAGGATAGCGTGTAGAAATTTTTCACACAGAGTTCTAAACCGTTGTCCCTTTGTTTCAGTTCTCGTTACTATTGTCTTTTCTTTTTTTTTTTCGTTTCAAGGCAAACTAAACAAAACTAGTGTCTAGAAAAATTATATTTAAATCTTGGTACTTTTCTTCGGATCGCGGAATTTTTGATCCTTGATCCGAAGGTTCCATCTTGCCGTGTGATTCATTGTAATGTCTTCAGAAAAATTTTGTTCAGATTCAAGTCTAAATTCTAAAAAGACTAGCAAAAGGTTTATACTCTTCATTTTTGAACGTAAGAAAAGAAAAAAAAAAAAAATAGCTGGAGTATATTTGAAAATTATTAAGTATTTTTTTTTGAACAGGACTTTGATTAAAAAAAAAAAAAGAAAGAAAAATTAAAAAACTATTTCTCGTTCTTTGTCTAGAAGAAAAATTATCGTACTATTTCTTGCTCTTTGTCTGGGAAGACGAATCTTTTTTTTTTTTTTTAAGACTATTATTTCATAGTTCGATTCATATTTGCACATGTATATTAATCTTTAAATAGCATCGTTGGATTCTAAGTGACTGCAGTAATTTAGCAATATGCCTTGATCTGTACAATGACATCATTTTCTCAGACAAAGAGCGACCTTTTATTCGCGAAAACGTCGCTAATAGCAAAATAAAGTAGCTACATACCGAAAGGCCTGATCGGATGTCGGCTCCACAGGTAGCTACGTTTAACAGGACTAAGGTAACTGTCCCTCAGATAGAACGGGGTGGCTTTCTGAGCATAGCTCGGAATATAGGGAGCATAGCTTGGGTACCACCATGGATCTCTGGTAAACGCACTGATCGGTGCCATCGGTGATGGTTCGAGAAGATCGAATAGAGGTTTCTTGCGTAACAACGAGGGGAACGATGGTAAGTAATCGTAATCGGTCACCAAGTTGCCTGAAATTAAAGAAATCACGTTCATTTATACATTCTTAGTTTGTGTATTCTGCAGTTTCTAATTTTAATGAGCTGTTCGCGTGTCAAAAATTACAATGACGCTGTAGAATCTTTGAAAATTGCAAAGAAGAAGAATTGCAATATTAACGAAAAAAAGTAAGTTACAAGTTACTCAATGTTTGAATGATTGAACAGAGCTTTGAGTTGGAGATTATACTGATAAAAGAGAAAAGAGTCTGTTTTAGATTTTAAGTTGTAAATTATTCAGTAGAAAACGATGATCATGCTGAAGTAATTGAACAGTGTTCTAAGTTTAAAATTTTTAACAGAGGATTGCAAATAAAATAATATGAAATATGTAAAATATAGAAGCCGAAAGAAACTGTTCAACTGCGAGTATCTCTTCAACAAACGAAAATTGCAAAGAAGAAGAATATTAACGAAAAAAAGTAAGTTACAAGTTAATCAATGTTTGAATGATTGAACAGAGTTTTGAATTTGAGATTATACTGATAAAAGAGAAAAGAGTCTGTTTTAGATTTTAAGTTGTAAATTATTCAGTAGAAAACGATGATCATGCTGAAGTAATTGAACAGTGTTCTAAGTTTAAAATTTTTAACAGAGGATTGCAAATAAAATAATATGAAATATATAAAATATAGAAGCCGAAAGAAACTGTTCAACTGCGAGTATCTCTTCAACAAACGAAAATTGCAAAGAAGAAGAATATTAACGAAAAAAAGTAAGTTACAAGTTAATCAATGTTTGAATGATTGAACAGAGTTTTGAATTTGAGATTATACTGATAAAAGAGAAAAGAGTCTGTTTTAGATTTTAAGTTGTAAATTATTCAGTAGAAAACGATGATCATGCTGAAGTAATTGAACAGTGTTCCAAGTTTAAAATTTTTAACAGAGGATTGCAAATAAAATAAATATAGAAACCGAAAGAAACTGTTCAACCGCGAGTATCTCTTCAACAAACGAACATTTTATGTACACACCGAATCCACTAAATCATCAGGCAATTTCTGTCTCCTATCGTCTAACGTAATGACTCCATTAAAATCTGATGAACGATCTATAAATCCTCACAAGTGTTCCCATAAACGAACGTTACGAAGATACAACAATAATTTATTTATCTTCTTCGTCGTCTTTTTACTTTACTATTATTCACT